GTGGGCCAGTTAGAGACCAGCAGCTGGACATCAGTGGTTGGACCGGTGGACTGCTTCAGTGAAAAGTAGACGACATCTGGCTCTGGTTTAAAGTCTAAACACAAACACACACAGTTCAACATGAGAAGGATAAGCAGCTCTGAAAACTCAGTTATGTTTATGTAAAGTAAACTGACAGAATGGGGAGAGGATTTAAATTTAAATTTGTTGTTGAGTGTTCAGACAGTGAGGCAGAGACATCGTCTCTGAAACATTAAACTGTTACAGAAGAAACAAACTCCAGATAAAGCTTCATTTATGTAAGTTCAGTTTAAAGTTTAACAGATTAACAGTCCACATGGCTGTACAAAAGAATTGTAACTACAAAATACGAAATAAACTAAAATAAATTAACTGCTGAGTATGGACATATCTTCCTATTTTCACACATTTTACAGGTTGTTTACACTTTACAGATGGAGGTTGCTGCTGATGTGATTTTATCTTAATAAAAGTCATTTTTACAATTTGATCTGCTGAGTCTGTCAGATCTGTCACATTCTGTGGTATTGTATATAATATTGGTCTATTTATAAAAAGCTACAGAGGCCAAGAAGAACAACTTAATAATTTCTGGAAGCTCACTTTCATTAAAGAAAAGAGACAAACACTGCATCACATTAAATAGATGAGTGCCTCATCTATGCAGAGGATACGTGGACCACCAATCAGAGTTGTTATGATGTCACTTCACATCAGGAGGTTAAAAAGTGTCTGTGTGGGAAAACAGCTGCGAGAAACTGTTCTGTAAAAATGAAGTTCTTCTAAAAAACTAGTAGTTCCTGGATGTAACCCCAGTTCTACGAGTAGTTGTGTTGTATCCTAAAGGGTGGACAGACTCAAGACTGTGGCAGAAAATGTTCCCCTCATGAATACCAGGATCAGTAATGCAATAAAGTCAGGTAAAATCAGATATGAGTCATAAGCTCTACATTTACTTTCATTCTTGGGACACGTTTTGCTAAATCTATTCTTGACTTATGTAACATTTTTAATTCAGATCTTACAGAGTACCAGTCAAACGTTTCAAGGCATTTGAGGGAGTTGGTGTTTCTCATCATCTGAGCTCATTTTAATAAAAAACAAATGCAAAAAATGAACCTTTTTGTCCTACACAGTAAACATGACATCTGATTGCTAAATTCTTTATAACAGTAAAGCATTGCAGTAGGATGTAACTGTTTTAATTCATACATAAAATCAATCATCAATAAAATCAATATGACATTTTTAAGGGATCATCTTGTTCACCTTGGATTTCTAGTTTAGTTTTTCTCTCGCTGAGCTGTTGATGATTTATTCCAAACCGTTAATTACTAGCATAGTAAGCTAGGACCTGGTTCAGTGTGGAGAAGAAAGCTTGCTGCAGGTCTCTGAAGACCCTAGACTTTAATTTGCTGTTTACTGAATGTGGAAAATAATAATAATGAAAAAGAATTACTCTGTTTTTAGTGAATAAAGAGCAGCTGTACCAGAGTGTGTTTGTTCTTACAGCTGTTTGTCCATAACTGATGTCTTCAGTTCTCAGGGCTGAGTGGACAGGAACGGGATCACTCTCTGCACAACAAAACAC